CTTTCCCTCCAAGGTCTTCCCACTGCTCCAGTTCAGAGGTTTCTTTTCCTTCTTTCTCTTCCAACTTCCCAGATTTGACTTCTTTATCCTGGAAAAAAAAATTAAAACGAAGCAAGGGTGATTACAAACTTCAAAATTCAGAACCTAAGAGCAATAGCAAGCTCTACAGGTGGGAAGGACTGCCAGGTGGGCTCGGTGAGCTTTGGTGACATGCACAGAGAGGGTGCACCAGGACTGAGAGAATGGCGGGTCCTGGGGAGAGCACAGCTCAGGGTGTAAAGACAGCCAGAGAATTGCTTTCTTCTCCTCTTACCTCCGTTTTCCTCTTCTTTCGAACTTTCTCGATCTTCTCATCTAATGTAGTGGCTGCCCTCTGCTGTTAAAAATAAAGAAATGATACAGGAATATACATGTGGGAAAGACACTGAGGTTTCTCTGAGGGTCAGGTCTCAAATGTTAATGTAGAAAAGGCTTGACTGTCCTTGGAAAAATTCAATTTGTAAATTATTCACAGAAAAAAAAAAACCTGAATAAATCCCTTACTTGAGAAAAAGCTTTCAATTACCAGGAACCAACATGAACATCTATACTTCAGAAGGCATTTATTTAGTATTTAGAACAAAATAACTAGCAAGAGAAGCAAAAACTGTATCTAAATGTTACTTACTTTTTTCCTTGTCAATCAGACACAACTTAGCTTACTAGTTTGAACTATGAAACCTGGGGACCAGCAGATGGTGTAGTAGTTAAGTCACTGGATTCCCACATGACCAAGTGTGGTTCAAGTCCCAGACCTGGAGGCTTGAAACTCACACTGTGTGCATGTGGATGCGTGCTCAAAGTCCCAGCAGGAGAATGGAGAAGGGACTGCAGTGTGGCTATCCTCCCCAGGGGTGATTCTTGCTTTCTGTCTCTCTGTCTCTCTCTGTCTCTCCGGTGAGCACAGGCACCTTACACCAAAAATCTCTCAAAAAAAAAAGATGAAATCTAAGCAAATTCAGGTAATGTTCACTATCGCTCAAGCTTTAGAAAGTGTAAATAGGGAACCAGCAGTTAGTGTCATGGCTATGTCGCTGGACTCCCACGTAGTTGACCGCGGTTTGCGTCCCGGACCCGGTGGCTTGAAACTCACGCCGGACACATGTGCATGTGTGCCCAAGATCCCGAGAGGAGAATGGAGGAGAAGGGATTGCAGCGTGACCACCCCCCCTGGGGGGTGATTTGTTGCTTTCTGTCTCTGTCTGTCTGGCGAGCGCACGTGCCCTATAGTGAAAAACCTCTCCAAAAAAAAAGAAAGTGTAAATAAATGGTAGGCCCCCCCTCAGGCATGCTCAAGGTACCCTGGACTGCTACCACATTTAAAAGTGAGTAACTATGTAATACTTTGTCTAATTATTTTCTAACTAGCTAGGCCAGGAGATTCATAAGACCAAGTCCTTAATTACATGGGGTCCATATGCCAGGACCTGGCAAAAAGTGTATCTGTTACATGAACCTGGAAGGAAATTTCATCAAAACATAAAACAGAAGAAAGAACGCATCATAATTAATTTAGAAAAGAAAATTTCTTTGGCATAAATATACAATATATGTGCATATATATTACATATATATATATATATATGAGAGAGAAAGAGAATATACTCTTAAAATGAAGCTGAAAAAGTAGTGCTGGTTTATTTCCATCAGAACAAGGACCAGCACAGTCTGAATTAAACTGTTCTAAGCAGTTTAATATTTCTCTTTGAACATGTAAAATGGAAAACAACTGATTCACCTTCTATTGTAGATTGTTAACCAGATTCATAGAAATGCACAGGATCTTGGCAAACAGCAGACAGCAAGGACACTGGCTGCAGCTTTGGCTGTGCTGTGTGGGAAGCAGAGACCTTGAACGATGAGGCATGGGAGAGCACATGGCAAGTGGCAGAGAACAGCAGTATCTACGGGGCAGTTTAGCTATCATAAACACTACTACCAGACTAGCTCCATGGCACAGCGGTAATGCACTGCTCAAGAGAAGCCAGATCCCAGCCAGCAGGTGGCATTGTGGTTAGGATTCTGGACTCTGGCATAGCCAACCACAGTTTAAGTAGACCACGGTTCGCGTCCCGGACCCGGTAGCTTAAAACTCACGCCGGGCATGTGTACGTGCGTGCCCAAGATCACAAGAGGAGAATGGAGGAGAAGGGATTGCGGTGTGACCATCCCCCCTGGGGGGGATTTCGCCCTTTCTGTCTCTATGTCTCTGTCTGTCTGTCTGTCTGTGCCCTATAACGAAAACCTCTCCAAAAAAATAAATTAAAAAACAAAAACACCACTACCAAGGCTGCTTGCGAGACTATTCTTTGCTACAAAATGATATAACTAAGATTCCTTTCTAACTCTCAAAACACAGCATGAACATGTAAAGAAGAGATTACAGCTATATAATTTTTTTTTTAGAAAGATGTTTGCTACAGGGTGTGTGCACTCACTGGAGAGACAGAGAAAGGCAAAGAGACAGAAAGTGAGTACCCCCCCAAGGAGGATGCTCCCACTGCATTCCCTTCTCCATTCTCCTCTTAGGATTTTGGGCACACACGTGTACCCAGAGTGAGTTTTAAGTCTCTGGGTCTGGAACTTAAACCACAGTTGACTAAATGGGAGTCCAGCGACTTAACCATTACACAGTTTATTGGTCCCAGTATATAAAATTTTTAAGTGAAACACTTCATGTACTATATTCCTAAACCACTAGACTGCTATCATCAGATTTCATCAAAAATATTTTTTTCCTTCGAGACCAGCAGGCGGAGTGGTGGTTAAGGTGCTGGAAACTCCCACATGGTCAACCATGGTTCAAGTCCTGGACTTAGTGACTGGCTTTCTCACTTTCCCTCTCTCTCTCCCACTCTCTGTGTCTCTCTTTGGTCACATTAAAATAAATGAATGAATACATAAAATAATTTTTAAAAAGATAATAAAAAATTTCCCTGCACATTTTAATGTCTATAAAATCAATAAAGTTTCTTTTATTTTTAAAAATATTTTATTTAACTTTATTTATTTTTTTTTATTTGACCAGAGGAATGAAGCGAGAGGGCAAGAACGACAAAGAGAATAAGAGAAAGAAAGTGAGAGAGCAAGTTGCCAGATCTGGGACTTGAACTGCAGTCACCATGTGGGAGTCTAGCGCCCTTAACCACCTTGCCACCTGCTAGGCCCTCAAGAAAGTTTCTCTTAACACATCCACTGAAGTTAGTCTGAACTCCATCCCCTCTTCCAGAAATAGCTGTCAAAAAATGTTTTATAATGAAGAAAATAAAGTATTTTTTACACTTCTACATGCCATCTGTAGATAAATAAATGCATTAAGTCCATTTTGCAATATTTCATACTTTTTATATAGTGTTAATTAAGACAAGTTATGGAACCCGCAGTTGGCATAATTGCTATGTTGCTGGACTCCCATGTAGTCAACCACAGTTCGAGTCCTGGACCCAGTGGCTTAAACTCACACCAGGCGTGTGTGCATGCCCAAGATCCCAAGAGCAGAATAGAAAAAGGATTGTGGCGTGACCATCCCCCCTGGGGGGGTGACTTCTCACTTTCTGTTTCTCTCTCTCTCTCTCTCTCTGTCTTTCTGTCAAGTGCACAGACCCTATAGCAAAAACCTCTCCAAAAAAAATAAATAAAGACAAGTTACTAGTGACTCTCTCTTCCCGCCCCCTCAAAATCACATCATGAATTGTCAGAGAAGTTCCAGTATCTGCTGAACGCAAGCAGATGTTAAAAGGCAGTGAGATCGGGGGTAGGTCTTGAGACCCACTGTCCAACCTAGCAGCCCAAAGTCTGGAACTGTCCCCAGCTGCCAGGCTCACCTTCTTCTTGAGCTGACTCATGACATCAGCCAGAGCCCAGCTGCCGTCGTATGTGCCATCCTTCTCAGTGAAAACGAAGTCAGGGTTGAAATCAGCACTGCGGTTCTTCTGCAAGGCCTTCTGCCTTCTGCCCAGGACAATGGGCCCCTGGGAAAAGGGAGCAGCAGGGTGACTTTGGAACCGAGAAAAGGAAGGAGGAAATGAGGGGGCCCAACAAAATAGAAATACACAAAGCAAAATGGACCAGCAGTTGGTGTAATGACTATGTCACTGGACTCCCATGTAGTCGACCTTGGTTCAAGTCCCAGACCTAGTGACTTAAATTCATGCCAGGTACGTGTACATGCATGCCCAAGATATCGAGAAGAGAATGAAGGAGAAGGGACTGCGGTGTGGCCATCCCGCCTGGGGGGTGATTTCTCGCTTTCTGTCTCTCTGTTTCTCTCTGTCTTTCTGGCAAGCACAGTGCCCTACAGCAAAAACCTCTTTAAAAAAAAAAGAAGAGATTAACTGATTGTAGTGATGGTCACAAAGAGGAGAGTTTTGAGATGACAGTCAAGAAAGGACCAGATCATACAGGAGCTTGACAGTCACATGAAAGCTGGCTAAGGGCTCTAAGCAGGAGGCTCTAAAGTGGTTGAGTTAAAGATTTACCCTGTTGCAGAGTCAAGAACACACTGGAGGGCCAGCAGGTGGCATGGTAATTAAGGTGCTGGACTCCCACATGACCAACCACAGTTCCGAGTCTTGGACCTGGCAGTTGGCTTTTTCACTTTCTCTCTCTCTCAGGTGAGCACATATGCCCTACAGCAAATTTAAAAATAATAACAGTAAAATTAAATAATTATTTTTTATAATTTTTTTTAAAGATTTTTGCTCTAGAGTGTGTGCACTCTCTGAAGAGACGGGGGGTCAAAAGGTGAGAAATCATCCCCATGGGAGATGCCCACTCTGAAACCCCTTCTCCTCCATCCTCTCGGGATTTTGGGCATGCATGCACAAATGCCCAGAGTGAGTTTTAAGCTGCCAGGTCCAGGATTTGTATTGTGGTAGGCTACAGGGAGACCAGTGACATTACCATTTCACCATCTGCTGGTCCCTTCGAGGCCAGGGCAGACAAAGTGAGAGAGAAAGTGAGAAGTCACCCCACAGGGGGATGACCATCCCTTTTCCATTCTTCTCCCAAAATCTTGAGCACGCACACATACGCACCTGGCATGAGTTTCAAGCCATCCAGTCAGAGACTCAAACCATGGTTGGCCATGGCAATGTAACCGCTATGCCATCTGCTGGTCCTAAAATAAGTAATTCTAAACACACACACACACACACACACACACACACACACACACACAGCAAACAAAGGCAAGGATGGACTCCAGGTATGTTAGGACTGTAGGTGTCCAGACCAGAGATGGCAGGGGCCTGGACTAGGATGGACACAGAGTGGACCGAGGGGGAGCAGACATGTAGGAGATTCATGAGCTAGCATTCAGAAGCCTGGAGGGGGCGAGAAGAAGGTTCTTTAGAATGAGTCCAAGGTTTCTGGCTTGAAGTGGGAATAGGATGGGAGGGTGAGGGAGACCACAAGGTCAGCTTAGAAAAAGCTGATTTGGGGGTTGGCAGGTGGTGTGGTGGTTAAGGGCGATGGATTCCCACATGGCCCACTGTGGTTCAAGTCCGGGACCTCTCAGCTTGCTTTCTCACTTTCTCTTTCTCTCCACACCTCCCCCCCTCCCCATCAAATTAAAATAAATAAAGAGTTAAATAAAATAATTCTTAAAAAAAAAAAGCTGATTTGCAGAGGCCACAGGACATCCAAGGGGGTGTGCCAAGTAGGCCTGTGAGAGGGCTGCTGCGCTGAATCTTCGAAGTGCAAGCACCTTTTCCATGTCACTGATGTCTTTTGAACTGCCATTCTGTTTATTGTCTGGACCTCCTACTCCAACATAAGCTTCAGGACAGGGCCGCCCATCCTGTCCATCGCTACATCCCTAGTCCTAAACCCCAGGTCCAGCACACGCCAGGAATCACTGACTGCTGAGAGGATGGACAAGCGCACGGATGGCTAACCGAGGGGCCCTGACAGGAGCCAGGACGGACTCCACCTCTGACCTTCACTACGCAGAGCCGCGATTAAATACCAAAAAAAAGCTGGCAAGGCGTCACGGAACGGCACCGGCAAAGACGCAGTAGGGAAGTGGCGAACAAACCGACAACGATCTCGGGGTTCCAGAGAGACCTCTGGGAAACCTCCCAACCCTGGCAGGAGGTGCTGAGGCTTCCCGTCAGAGGCCTGGGGCATTGCCGGGAAGGGAGGCGTCGGGGGTACCCGAGGACCCGAACCGTGCCCTCACCCCCGACCGGCTCGCACCTCGTCCTCCTCGTCTCCGGAGTCAGACTCGGGCTCCAGCGGCACGTCGTCATCTTCGCCTATGGTGCCGATTAGACCCAGCTCCGCCAGCATGTTGCCGCACCAGCCACTTCCGGAAGTGAGCGCGGCGCGCGGACCAGCCCTTTTTCACTACCTCCTCGTCGCCGCTGCGCATGCACCACACGTCACTTCCGTTCGGAAGCGGAGTCCCCCGCCCGCCGTACTTCGGCTCCTGAACTCAGAGTGCGCATGCGGCGTTCTGGGGCCGTGGTTTCCAGTGACGACACCGTGGGGCGGAGTTTTTTGTTGGACGCGAAATTCCATTGTCTCCGCAAGCTGAGAGCTTTGGGCGCCTCTGCGGAGTGTGCGAGCGGGGTGGGGGTTGGTTCAAGAGGCGCATGATAAGCGTATATTTACGCACAAAACATTGCGGAAGAAAATGACAATAAACGATTAACACTGCTTAATCGTAGAAAATTATTATTTATTTTCTTCTTAGTTTTTTTTTCTTCTCCACAATAAACAATTACTTTCACAAAAAAGAAAATAAAGATAAGACTAGCTCATATTTATTATGTGCCAAGACTAATTTAAGCGTTTTACATGTGTTAATTAATTTAATACAGACCCCAGGCTGGAGGTTCCAACGTCACAGGAAGAAAAGGGCCAAGATTATAACCGAAGCGTGGCTGCAGGGATCTTAAGTTCTCAGAGGTTACCAGGAACTTTTTCTCTTATTTCTGCTTGTGCAAATCTTCCTCTTAACGTCAGCTCAGGATGACTTCCACTGGGTGACTATCCCTAAACATCTCTTTCTCCAGGAAGTTTCCCTGGGCCATCCATCCTCCTTCATAGCTGCTTGTTCCTTTCCTGTCAATGCTTTGTGCCTACAGCGGAGCTAGAGTTGCACCACAAAAGCGGACCTAGGAAAATATTAAAAAAAAAAGTGGAGGTAGGGAGGTTGGGTGGGAGGCAGGTAGTAGCAAAAGGGAAAAACAAACTCAAGTGACTGCACATGGAATCAAGTTTGAAGACCTCTCTGAGTTCACAGGGATGCATGTACCATGAACTGGGGGGCCATCTGGGGCTGCTTTAGGCTGGGGGTGGAGTCTGGTGTGGAGCTTGCTTGGGGGATGGGGGTGGGGGGGTGGGAGGTGCTGTTTCTCTCAATAAATAAAACTGTAAATTAAATTGTCTTTTGTAATCTTTTTTTTTTTTGCAATTTTTATCCATGTTTAAGTGTACAATTAAGTGGTATTAATTACACTCACAATGTTGTGCAATTATCACCACTATCTGTTTCCAAAACTCTTTCATCATCTTAAACAGAAACTGTGACCATTAGGCAATAACTGTTCTATTTAGCTGTCCCCCCCCCCTCCTTGGTAACCTCTAGTCTACTTTCTGTCTCTATGAATTGGCCTAATCTAAGCATTTCATCTAAGTGGAATTATACAGAATTGTCCTTTTGTTTTCTGGCTTAATTCACTTAACATAACGTCTTCAAAGTTCATCCATGTCGTAATATGTGTCAGAACTTCATTATAGCTGAATAATATGTTATATTTATAAACCACGTTTTATTTATCTGTCTGCTGTCGATGGACAGGTAGATTGTTTCCACCTTTTAAATATGGTGAATACTCTAATGAACATGTACAAGGGTCTATTTGAGCTCCTATTTTTAATTCATTTGTGAATATACCTAGAAGTAAAATTGCTGAGTAATACGATAATTCTATGTTTAGGATTTTTTTTTTTTAATTGCTAGAGGGTGTGTGGTCTTGCCAGACAGAAAGAGACAAAGAAAGCACCCCCCCCCAGTGGGGCATGATCATGCCTCAATCCCTACTCCATTTCTTCATCCTGTTGGGATTTGGGACACACACACACATGCCCAGAGTATTTTTTTCAAGTTGCCCAGACCGGGATTTGAACCATAGTCACATGGTATCCAGCTCCCTTAACCAGTTGGCTACAGGACCAATCCTATGTTTTGCTTTTTTTTTTTTTTTTTTTTTGGAGAGATTTTCACTGTAGGGCGCGTGCACTCGCCAGACAGACAGAGAGAGACATAGAGACAGAAAGCGAGAAATCACCCCCCAGGGGGGATGGTCACGCCGCAATCCCTTCTCCTCCATTCTCCTCTCGGGATCTTGGGCACGCATGCACACGCGCCCGGCGTGAGTTTTAAGCCACCGGGTCCGGGACACGAACCGCGATCGACTACGTGGGAGTCCAGCGACATAGCCATTACGCTAACTGCTGGTTCCCCTATGTTTAGCTTTTTAGAGAGAGATTTTTGCTATAGGATGTGTGTGCTCTCTGGAGAGACAGAGAGAGGTAGAGAGACAGAAAGTGAGAAATCACCCCTCAGGGGAGATGGCCATGCCACAATATTCTTCTCCATTTTCCTCTGGAGACTTTGGGCACACATACACCTGCAACCGGCTTGAGGTTTAAATCACCGATTCTGGAACTTGAACTGCGGTTGGCTATGTGGGAGTCCAACGATGTAACCATGCGATGTAACCATCACGGCCATCTGCTGGTCTCTTTTTAAATTTTTTTAAAAATAATTATTTATTTAGGGACCAGCAGATGGCAAAATGGTTACATCTCTGGACTCCCACATAGTCAACTGTGATTTGAGTCTTAGGCTCAGCGGCTTGAAGCTCATGCCAGGCCTGTGTGCGTGCATGCCCAAAATCCCCAGAGGAGAATAGAGGAAAAGAGATTGCAGTGTGGCCATCCCCCAAGGAGGTGATTTCTCACTTTCTGTCTCTCTGTCTCTCTGTCTCTTGAGTGAATATGCGCACCCTATAGCAAAAGTATCTTTATTAAAAATATTTTTTTTTTGCAGCTGACCATGTCCCATGAGTGGTGCTTTCTCCCTGTCCCTCTGTCCATCTATTTCTCCCTTTCTGATAAGTACACACATCCTCCAGCAATTAAAAAAAGAGAGAGAAAGGCAAAGCAGAGGATGAAGAAGAACAGGAAGAAGAAATCGGATAGAACTAAATATTTCATTTCTAGAGAAATTTTTTTTTGAAGAGGTTTTTGCTTCAGGGCGCATGCGCTCGCCAGAAAGACAGAGAGAGACAGAGAGGCGAAAGCAAGAACTCTCCCCCAGGGGGGATGGTCATGCCACAATCCTTTCTCCTCCATTCTCCTCTTGGGATCGTGGGCACGCACGCACACGCACCTGGCGTGAGTTCTAAGCCACTGGGTCCGGGACACGAACCGCGGTCGACTACGTGGGAGTCCAGCGACATAGCCATTACGCTAACTGCTGGTTCCCCAGCAAACTTTAAATAATAATAAATTAGGGACCAGCAGGTGGTGTGGTGGTGGTTAAGGGTGCTGGACTCCCACATGGCCGACCACGGTTTAAGTCCCAGAACTGGTGGCTTGCTTGCTTTTTCACTTTCTCTCTCTCTCTTACTCTGTCCTCTGGTCAAAGTGAAAATTTTTTCAAAGTTTAAAATAATTATTAAAAAATAATAATAATAAATTAAATAATTTTTTAAAAGAAATTTTGTGAGGTTTTTTACTTAAGACACATGTACTTGCCAGAGAGAGAGAAAAAGACCAAGACAGTGAAAGAGAAAGTGAGAGGGGCCAGCAGTTAGCATAATGGCTATGTCGCTGAACTCCCACATAGTCAACCACGATTTGAGACCCGGGCCTGGTGGCTTAAACTCACGCCGGACGTGTGTGCGTGCATGCCCAAGATCCCAAGAGGAGAATGGAGGAGAAGGGATTGCAGCGTGGCCATCCCCCCTGGGGGATGATTTCTTGCTTTCTGTCTCTCTGTCTCTCTCTGTCTGTCTGGCAAGTGCACACGCCCTATAGCAAAAACCTCTCAAAAAAAAAAAAAAAGAGAAAGTGAGAAATTGCCCCCTCCCCAGGGAGAGATGGCCAATCCCTTCTCCTCCATTTTTCTCCCAGGATCCTGGGCACACATGTACATGTGCCCAGAGTGAGTTTCAAGTCACCAGGTCAAGGACCTCAACCGCAGTCAGGATGTGGGAGGGAGTCCAGTGACATGACTGCTATACCATCTGCTGTTACCAAAAAAAAAAGACTTTTAAAAAATTAATTAATTAATTAAAGTATGGGTATTGGAGCCTAGTTGCCTTGGTTCAAATTCTACTTCTGCCTCTTGCTGTGTAGCCTTGGGTAACTTCCTCGCTTCTCTGTGCCAGTTTGCTCATTTATAAAATAAAGACACTGTCGGGGTCAGCAGGTGGCTTGGTGGTTAAAGGTGCTGGACTCCCACAAGGCCAACCACAGTTGAAGTTCCGGACCTTGCTGCTTGCTCTCTCTCTGTTCAAAAGTGAATAATAATGATAATAAATAATTATTTTTAAATAATTTAAAAAATAAAGACACTATCAGGAAGATAATACGATAATTTATTAGTAAAATGAATGACAAATGGGTATAGCGGAAACAAATGGTAGAACATAAGTTTTTGCTGTTTGATTCTTTGTGAAATTACATCTACCTTTTTTCTGATTTATAAAGCATGACAGCATCAAGCTGCTTTGGGCGTCAAACCAAACCTCTACCAAGCTTCCTGGGGCTGGAGCAAGGCTCTGCAATCCGTTTGTACTTTGCCTGGATAGGATCCACCAGCAGGGGGCGTGTGAGAACAACTGGAGAGTTGGAGGAGGAAGACACGCTCCTTTTTTCACATTCTTGGAAGTGTCACTGCAGCAGCTCTTCTCCCTGGAAGAGGCGGTTCATCCCAGTTTGCAATTACTTGTTCTCCTTTTAAACACTCACAGAACCATCTTGTCTGTACCCACCAGAATACCAGCCACAGCTGAGCAGTGCCTCCTTCTCAGAGGTTTGTGTCCCAGCTCCATGGGAACATTTTCTGGACTCAGAGACATCACCCTTTTGGTGCCTCTGCTGAGGCCTGTGCTTCTCCTGCATAGATGCCTTCTCTAATAGCTTCGTGTTAATAATCACAGCCTCCTCCCTTGTTTCTCCAGCCTCTGGGCTGCTTCCTGTCATTGCTACCTCTGAAATATTTTGTGCTCCTGGGCTGGCCCTCTGGCCTAGTAGATAAGGGAGTCAGATACCACATAGCCCACCAGGGTTCAAATTCTGATTTAAGGACCAGCAGATAGTGTAGCGGTTA